TTTTATTTTTTTTTTTTAAATAATAATATAGAACTATGATACTCTGAATAAGAAAAAACTAGTAGGTGGCAATAAATGGTGATAGATTCATTCTGATCTGATTCAGAAAAGACATAAATGACTCTCTTTATAAATGGGCCCATTGAATCATTGATTTGATTAATTTTATGAAGTCTTGAGTTGATAGACAAGAAAAAAAAATCATTGCTTCACCTGAATCATGACAAATTGAGTGAACATTTCTGCTGTGGCTTCATAGGCAATATTTGCATTGGCAAAACTGAACAAAAACAGACAATACTGTGAACAAAATACAACACAATATTAACTTCTTATTTACTGAACTGTTGTTTAAAATCAGCATCACATTTACACTGCTATTTTGGACAAAAACACTACTCGTGTGATATGCTGTTGTGAATTTTTTTTGTAATAAAACATTATAAATGATCAAAAGCATATTTCTAAACAACAACAATAATAATAATATTTGGTCATGTTGTTTCTGTCACATGACAAAAAAAACGTTTTTTGGGAAATGTTATAGGGTGCAGAAAAAAAAGGGAAAATTAAAAACAATGCATTAAAACAAGGACAGTTATAACAGAGACTGGTAAGCTTATCATGTTTTTTATTGTCATAAAGTAAGTGCACATTTAACGTTGTAGCCTGAGAGTGCAAGTGATTGATGTTAATATTAGTTTATTTCCGAGTATCTCGGTATGTTTGTGAATGGGCATTCTACTTACATTGGAGATAAAATGAGAAGTGTTTAACAGAGATACAAACTAGTCACCTTTTGCTATACATCACAGCCTTGAATTCAAAATAGGTAATTTGTGTGATTCATGTAGAAACTCTTACTACTTCATACTTCAGTGCTGAACTTTGACAAACAAAGTCAAAAAGTGAATAGTGATTTTTAAATTTTATAATATAATAGTGATTATCTTATGTCTAAATATAAATCCAAATGCAAAACATGTGAAAATAACTATATTAGGGAGTCGAACTCAACCCAGACAGCAGACCGTTTCGGCCCAGATCCGGCCCACATCTGGCCCGCTTGGATTTCACATGGGCCAGATGTGGGCCGGATCTGGGCCAACACTATGTTGCTGTCTGGGAATCAATCAATCAATCAATCAATCAATCAAAACTGCTTAACTAAGAAATGAGCAACGTGTTGATTAAAAAAAAAAAAAGTGTTCCCTTTCAGTCGGTCACTCCCGACGTCACGTCGGATGACCGACGAATTGGGATCTCGCTTAGCGGGACCAATCTACTTCGAGTGTAAACTAAACGAGCAAATGCACATTGGCATGCGATTATTGCATCCAGCTGCTGCTGATCACAGCATGAGTATAAGTAGGCAGCAGATGCAGCGCATATTCAGCTTTTCGCTTCGGAGCCGAGCAGTTCTATCGTTCTGCTCCTGATCTTCCTACAGTAGTGAAAAACTACAGTCAAGCACGCTCTTCGGTGGGCTCTCGTGCTGGTGGACGGCGCTTCAGCGGCGGTGGTTTTCCCGTGTCGAGTGGGTTGCACACAACAGGCTGCACTACCCCTGTGTGTGTTGCAGACG